AATTATAATAGAGAGATTAAATTCAATTTTTGATAGATTATAGGGACCATTGTCATAATTTGACTTTTTCTAATTCCCAATTCATGGGCTATCTAATTATCCTTGCAGAATAGTGGTACAACACCGGTTTTCACATTGCCCTAAAAGTTACACATTTCCAAGCATTATATGGATATCAACCTCTTATATTTTCTTGGGATGTTAGTTCCGTTGCTAAGGTTTCAAGTGTTGAAGAAATACTTAAGAAAAAGTAACAGTTAAGCAGGTTCATGGTGTAACATTTACAAAGAGCTCAACAAAAGATGAAATTTTATTTAGACAAGAAAATGAGTAAAAGGGAATTTCAAGTAGATGATGAGATGCACTTGAAGATCCAACCTTATAGGCCAATATTTATAGCCTTCGGAAGAATCTTAAGCTTTCATCCAAATACTATGGACCATATTCTATAGATGCCAAAATTGGACCAGTAGCTTATATGCTACAGCCGCCAATTACTTTTAAAATTCATCTCATTTTTCCTGTTAGCCTTTTGAAAAAGAAAATTGGTCTAAAGGTGATACCCAGTTAGCTCCTCTAGAGGTTAATGAAGATGGCCAACCTTTAGTGTATCCTACTACTATACTGGATAAAAGGATACTAAAAAAGGGGAAATTAGGCAGTAACTCAGTTATTGGTGGAATGGTTTGATCTTGATCCTGATCATGCCACTTGTGTATACTTTTCAATTTCCATCATTTGATCCTTGAAAATAAGGATTGGCTACAAGGGAAAGTATTTTGATAGAATTGGTCATTCATATCAAGGATTCAAATAGCGGTGCTATAGCGAAATAGTGACCGTAAAATTGTATTAGCGCCACTACCCGCCATCTCTATCAAGGAAAATGCAATTGAAAATTTTAATCACACTCAAAACAGTGTGTAACGGCCATCGAAAACTGGTGTAACGAAAAATAGTGGCAATAATGGACCATTATTGCTGCTATCCTATTTTTCCATCAATACAAATGAAAAAAAATTTTCAAGTTTCAACCCAATCTGTCAAGATTCCCAAAAATAAAAATAAAACAACTAAGATTGTAAAAGAAAAAGTAAAAACAAAAGCCAAAAGAAAAGATAACTTAGTCAGTAAATTTCATTCTCATATTATTAGTTTCAAAATTCGTCTAAAAAACCTTAAAAAATAGTATCAATTATCAACCATTCAATCTGCAGCTACACAAATTCAAATCAACCTCAAATCCTCAATCAACAATTAAAATTCAAAGAAGGTAAGAAAAAAATTAATTACCTTTTTTTTTGTAAAATTTTTGTAAATTAATGTTGATCTTTGTGTTTGTGAGAATTTGAGTGAGAGAGACAAGGGTATATGAGAGCGAGAGATGCAAAAAAAAGAGGAGTTGGTTGAGTTAATTTGAAGGAATGACGCCATGAAAAAGGTTGAAGATAAATAAGAGAAATTTGGAAACTGTTTGAAAGAGAATCGGAGAGTAGGGTGAGGTGTTGGGTCTTGTCTCAAATAGAATGGTGGGTGCGGGGTGGGATTCGGTGGGGTAGGGTGCGCTGGGGGGTAGGGATGGGTGATTTTTATTTAATTTTATAATTAATTTTATTAAAATATAAATTTAAAATTTTATAATTTTTAAAATTTTTTAAAATAAAATTTAGTTAGAGGAATTGAGATTTTATAATTGAAAATTTTAAGAAATTAATAATTTAATATGATATATATAGGGATTTTAGATGAAAAATTTTGAATAAATTTTTTTGTATAAATTAAATGAAAAATAATTAAAAATAAATATTATATTTTGATTTTGTTATTTATTAATTTATATTTTATATTTGAAATTTAATATTTTTTTTTGTTTTGGTATTTATATTGTTGTCAATTCTTTTGCTATTAAATTAATTTTTATTAATTAATTTTTATTTTTATGTAATTATTGAATATTCTATTTATTATAATCTAACTAAAATTGTGAATATTTTCTTTTAGAAAATAAAAAATATAGTATCATAAATTATTTTAAAAATCATTAAATAAATTTTTTATAATTATAATTATTATATTTTATAATAAATTGTGCGAAATTTAAAAAAATTCACGACTACGAAGACTTCGATGATCGTAATGATTTTCGTTATATCTGAAAATACGATAAACACGATGCGACGAAAATGTTATTGCGACCGCTATTTAAATCTTTTATTGAGATTAATGGAATGGAAGTTGACAAAAAAGCTGGGAGTGGCCAAAATACAATTAAGCTGAAGAAGGCTATAGCTGGGTCAAGGAGTACAGAGGATGCCTAATACTCTGTGGAGCTGACAATGGCATAAATGAAAGAAGAATATGAAGACGTGCTAAATTGTAAGGCCGTTGAATAAAAGGACAAAGGGGATAGCTGGACCGTTAAATATGCTGACTTGTCTATTTGTAAACAGTTGGCTTAGAATTATGAGCTGCTAAGAGTTGCGAGATTATTGGATCCTTGTATTTCATGGAAATAAAGAACTGTGTGAGCATATACAGGCACAACACTATTATCAGAAGAATCTCATGAATGAAAATGCTATCTTTCTTCTCTATCCTTCTTGGTTCTTGTTCTGGTCTTATTCTCTTACTCTTTCTGTGTTACTGCAATCTGTTGAATCTATAACAATTATCCTTAGCTAGGAGCTTGTCAATTAATCTAATTGGTGCAAATGTTTAATTTTGAGCCTTCACCAATTTTAGTAGATTTATTTCAAATCATTAACTTCAACAATTTTTATGTGTCTTGTACAGAACCAAACCACCACAAGTGGTTTTGCTCTTACTACTCTGTTGGTCATCACATTATTTAGATTTTTTTTTCCTTTTGGTCACCTGCATTTTAAAAGTTGTGTTTTGAAAACAAATAATGTATAACGTGGAATGTCAAGCAGGTGTTTCGTTAGAGTCTAACTAGATAATTTACCCTATGTAATAACCTTCTTCAGCCCATTTAACAAAATAGAAATTATCTGGCCTATTGTCAATAAAAATTTTAAACTCTACTAGTAGAGTTAATAGAATAACAATTGTTGCTTAGGATATATTAAAGATTTAAAAAATTATTAATTTTTTAATCTCACTTATAAAATTTTAAAAAATTACACTATCAATATATCAAAAATTAATTCTTAACAAAAACAATATATTAATGATCTGGAATTATTAGATTATTAATTTACTGTTAAAAATATTTGATTCAATGGTTAATGTATGTATCTGGAAGCTCTACTCCAAGAGTTGGAAGAAGGTTTGAATTCCAAGATCTCCAATAGAAGATGGGTTAGAAAGGGAACAACTAAGTAGCGCATCCGGAAAGAAATTTGGTGTTGACAGCATGTTAATACATTATTCTAGAAAACCACACAGATGGTTTTCCATAGATGTAATTTACAGCACAAAACAATTGGTCCAAATAGTTTATGATAACCATATTTTTCGTCTTTTTGTTTTTGACACAATATTTAGTATCATCCAATTAAAACATTTTTATTGTTGGTAATATTGACTCAAATCTCATAAGAGATTTGTTTGAGATTTGTCAGATATTGCTTGATAGACAAGAAGACTTTCAAGAGAAGAATTCTAAAAGGAAAGGGATTCTTAATGGGCAAGTTTGTATAATTATAAATATGTGAAGTCTCTACAGTGTTAGGTATGAGAAAAAGATGTAAGAGAGTTGTAGGGTTTTGTGAGATAGACACCCCATAGGAGTATTAGGGCTCTAGGTCTTATGGGTGTGTGTGTTTGTTTGTGAGTGGACTAGAGGAGACTGAGAGGGTCCACATAGGTATGATGTATGGGAACATATGGGTATGCATTTGGTTGTGTTGAAAGGGTGCACAAGGGTTTTATAGGACTAGAGGAGATTGAGAGTGTCTTATGAGTATTGATTGTTGAGTGAGGTTGATGATATGATGTATGTTTGTAATTCTCTACAACTAGTGGATCTTGTTTCTCATCCGTAGATGTAGATCAATTGGACCGAATCACGTTAAATTATTGTCTCTTGTGTGTTTGATTTATTATTTGATTTCGCTTCCGTTATTGTGATTAGATTTGAGGCTTTTAGCCCAACATTTATTACCCTACATAAACTGAAATTGCCAATATTCTTAGTAAAAAGCTTTGTTCTAACATTTTTTTTTTCCATTTTTTCTACAAAAAGAAAAATAAAAGTTTTGATGCATATAATTAATTGAAAACTTACCCCATAAAATATAAACTTCTTCTACATATCATAAACTTCTTTCATACCCACAAAACTTAATTCAATTATTAAAGAAAAGAGCTTTTTCTATTAATTAAGATTCAATTTTTATGAAAAATAATTCGAAAGTAAAATTTAAATGTATCGGACCGAAGCATTATACTATATATGTCTTTAAAATTGTTCAAGAGGAGATTAGATTTAAAGTCTAAAAATAACTTTGACAGGAATATAAAAAAAAAAAAAAAAATCATTCTTACAAACCTTGAATGAACTGATAATGACTAATTATTTAACATGCGAAAGCTAAAATTAGATATAATTGTACCTGTGACTTAATTATTAGTGCATGATCTTTGAGCTTGAGCAAAGTTTAAATCTCTTGTTTCAAATAACAAATATTTTATGTAATTTACAAAAATGTAAAATTGTTACGAAAAACAACTTTCTCCTTGTGCATTTAAAGATTTTGACATATTTTTAAGCCAATAATATGTTTGCATTTCGAGGCAGCTTATACATGCTGTATATATTATATGAAAAATATTATTTGCAAACCACATGCACATTTTATGTTTTATCTTAATCATGACAAAGAGCAAATGTGTGATATTTTCTCTCATGTCGTGTGATATTTTACGGCTGTTTACTAGATGGAACTCTATGTCACTGGTGATGATGTGTAATCTAGTAATTGATAATGTTAAAAGTTATATAAATATATATATATATATATATATCTCCACCCGTTAAAGTCTTAGAAAATGTTGCCAAAATCATTAGCCTACCAAAGCTTATCCCTACTCGTGTTGGCCTTGTGCTTGCGCTCAATATATATAGACATATAAACCGCCAAAGGCATAAACTCTTATCAAAACAATACGGATTCATTTGCTTCTTGCTGTGTATGGCAGATCCAACACCGCTTCTTTCTCACTATGATCAGCCGGTAGAACGCAAACAGCCTCGGTCCCTCGATGAGGCAATTGAACGGTGTATCGGAGACTTCGGGTGGTCGCAATTCCTGCAAGCAATACTTGTATCATTTGCTTGGGTCTTTGACGCACAGCAAACTTTCATTAGTGTATTCACTGATGCTGAACCATCATGGCACTGCACTCAAGTGGTACACGAGTCAGTTTGTAACTCATTCTCCAACATTTGCCTACTCCCCAAAAATTCATGGTCTTGGGATTGGCCTGCACACACATCAATCATATCGGAATGGGGCCTTGAATGTTCTAGTTCTATCGTCAGAGGGCTACCTGCCTCCTCTTTCTTTATGGGCTGCCTAACAGGTGGGCTTGCGCTAGCAACACTCGCGGACTCAACTCTTGGCCGCAAAAATATGCTCGTTTTCTCATGTCTGATGATGTCTTTATCTTCCATCTTCACCGTCTTCTCTTCCAATATATGGATCTATTCAGCCTTGAGATTCATCAACGGGTTTGGCCGCGCAACCATTGGAACTTGTGCACTTGTGTTATCAACCGAGCTAGTGGGAAAACGATGGCGAGGCCAGGTTGGAGCTATTGGTTTCTTTTGTTTTACCTTAGGCTTTTTATCATTACCACTAATAGCATTTATAAATAAAGGTTCTTCATGGAGAACTCTTTATCTATGGATTTCGGTACCATCAATCTTCTATTGTATACTAGTTCGTTTCTTAGTCCATGAGTCTCCAAGATGGCTTTTCGTCCGTGGACGCAAAGAGGAAGCAGTTTCAACCCTCAAAAGCATGGCTCAGGCTAATCAGAGTGTCTTAACAATGAGTTTTTCCAATGTCTTAATCGAGCAAGAGTCATGGAATGCTGATCTTTACTCCTCAATCAAGATACTTTTGAACAAGAGATGGGCTTTTCGAAGGTTAGCAGCGGTTATGTTATCAGGTTTTGGGATTGGGATGGTGTACTACGGCATGCCATTAAGCCTGGGAAATCTATCATTCAACCTCTACCTGAGCGTCACATTTAATGCGTTATCGGAGCTCCCAGCATCATTGATTATATTCTTCCTTGTAGGGAAATTAAACCGGAAAGGCTCATTGTTGGGCTTCACAATCTTAAGTGGGATATGCAGTGTGCTTTGTGTGGTGATTGGCAAAGTGTGGCCAGTTTTTCAAATAGGACTGGAGCTGGTATCCTTTTTCAGCGCTTGCCAAGCGTTCAACATGGTACTGATATACACAATAGAGCTGTTTCCCACTTGCGTGAGGAACTCGGCAATCTCAATGGCGAGGCAGGCGCTTGTGTTCGGGGGAGTGTTCAGCCCAGTGCTGGTGGCGGCTGGGAGGAAAAATGAGCTGTTATCGTATGGGGTATTTGGGTTGGTGATAGGGGTTTGTGGGCTACCAGTGCTTGGGTTACCGGAGACAAGGGGTGGGACAATTTGTGATACAATGGATGAAGAAGAGCACAAAGAGAAAGCCAAGGCGGCTGCTACTGCTATGCTGGCAAAAACTGGTTCGCCCTAGCTCCTTCTAGTGGAATTAATATATCATTGCTTAATAGTAGTAATCCATAAATGTTGTCTTATGAATAAGGCTGTAATTAAGATATTTGTTGTCATCTGGTGGAGGCCAATCTTTGCTAATAAATTTATTAATTGGCAGGAAAGGTCTTTTGTATTGAGTTTTTTCCTGCACAAGTGTACATTCAAACTTTTATTCCCAAATAAAGGCACTTTTAATCTTTTTTCTTTAAATGGAGTACTAAAAGCAATGTCAACCATGTATCATTATCTACATTGTTTACGTGTAAATTGGATTAATTTTATTTTTTATTTTTTATTTTTCATTTTCTTACTTTTCTTGTCTTTTCTTTTCTCACCACTTCTATTTACCATTATTGGTTAATCTTTAATTACAATGTAAAATAATTTAAAACGATTCCCTCGTTCCTAACAAATTTTCACCCACGTCCAAAATCCGGTACTATCATTTGAAATTCTTCCTTTGAAGCCTAGACTTCTATTCTTTTCAAACTTGCATCGAGAGCACCAATGGAGGGAGAGAATTCAAGGAAGCAAACAAACAAATTAAAGCATCAGTTATAGAAAGCATCAGTTAATCTTTTCCGCAATTTTGTTCGCATGGAGGAGAAGAAAAGCATTACAGGAGAAAGGAAAAAATATTAAAAAAAAAAAAAAAGAAAAGACAGAGCAAAAACGATAAAAATGGTGTTCATTGCCATGTTGACAATTTGAGCACGGAGACAATGACATAGACTTAAAATACCTTATTTATAGAAAAAAGATTAAAAGTACCTCATGTTGGGAATTAAGATTTTAATGTACCCTATGATAATAAAAACCTCCTTTTGTATGCCTTAATTGTTAATTACACAAAGCTCTTCCTTATTTTTTCCTTTTTTAAATATATAGTAAACTAGATCATAACTAGTGTGGTATAATGTAATATAATTTTTTTAAAAATTATATTCAAATCTTTAAAACTCATAACATATATAAAATTTATATATATTGACTTGTTATTAAAATATAAATTTTATGAAAACAACAAAAAAAAATTATCTTTCCTTTGGATATTTTTGTTTATAATAATATTTATATATCTGTAAAATTATATTAAATAAAAATAAATTATGTCTTTTTTAAAAAAATAAAAATATATATTATTGAATGACAAATTAAATAATAAAAGAAGTATTAACACATTTTCACTTTAGTAATCTTAACTAAATTATTATACAAAATATGAAAAATGTTAAAAAATATGTGAAAAAGGAAAAAATAAATTGAAAAAAATATTATTTTTCATAAGAATGAAATTGTAATAATAACAAAATATATCTTTAAAAAATTTATAAACAAAAAAATTTGCAATAGTAATAGAATATACCTTAAAAAAAGTTATTGAAATAACAAAAAAAAAAATTGATGTATAAAAACATTACATTTATAGTCTTAAATTTGTAGAATAATTTTTAGTGGCAATTAAGATTAAATAGATAATTTTTAAATTAATTTTTTAAAATTTAGAATGGATATAATAGGTGATAAAGATAATATTAAAATTTTTGCATTTATTTTAAATATAAATTTGATAATTAGAGTTCAAATATATATAATTATTTTGATAATTTATTATTTAAAGATTTAAGATGAAAATTTTTTAATTTTCCAAATCTTACATAAAATTAGTTGAATTTTTAATGTCTTATATAAATTTTTTTAAAAATATAATTTTTTAAATCAAGATAAAAAAATATTATTGAAATATTTGGATAAACTTAATCTTTGTAATTTTTAAATATGTTTGAAATATTTTGATAAGTAAATAATTTTTTAAATAAGGTTATTTGGTAAACAACTAAAATTATTTATTAAAAAATAAAATCCATATTTCATATTTTTAATTTTAGAATATATATCTCTAAATTGATTTGATTTTTAATTACGATTTAAATAATTTTGATATTTGATTAAATTTAAAATTATTTTAATTTGTAATTAAAAGGAATTATCTTATTTTTAAAAAAATTGTATTATATATAATTTAAAATAGTTGTCCACATAAACACCTATGTGACAAATTTATTTTTGCATGTTGTTATATAATATATATATATATATATATATTAGAGTTATTTAAAGATTATTACTATTATTTTATACACATTAGAATTTTTAGAATTTACAATTGAATTTAAAACAAAATGTCACGTAATTTAATTAATCATATTATGATATTAATTTTTAAATATATTTAAACAGTCATGTCTGTTATAATTTAATTCATTTATAAAATTTAAAAATTTTAACGATGGCGTAGTGAAAAGCAAGTCTTTTTTAATAATAATTATATAATGACAAATGAAATGTTATAATTAATTAATTATTTATTTATTTATTTATTTATATCTTTCAATGCGTGGGTTTTATGATGTCCAGCTACAATGTATCCAGTATATGTGTATTATTATAAGTCAATGCAACAGCCGTTTTAGTATTTTTTTTAAACCAAAAGGAGTTTTTAACTAAAACAATTTATTACACCTAATTTTTTTTATTACAAAAATACTCCAAATGAAATTATTTAATTAACTTTTAATAAATTACCCTTTAACTCTTCTTATTCTTGATTTATAATATTTATGAAATACATATATAAAAATTTTAAAAATCTCAAAACTTTAAAAAATTTTAAAAATCTCAAAACTTTAAAAAATTTTAATAAGTTTTTGAATATACAAATCCCAAAACTTACAAAAACATATAAAAATGCATTCCTTTAAGTAACAATTTTACGAAAAAATCACAAATTACAAATCATAAGCCCATTCAATCATTCAACCATCATAAATAAATATCTCTATATTGGAATAGATGACTTGAAACTATTAATCTCGTTTGAAAATTAATAATTTTAAGATTGATCTGAGTGAGAATAGAAGGATAGGAGATGGAAACATTGAAGGAAAAGGATTTAGGGGTTTGGGGTGTAAATGAGGGAATGATGAGGATGGTAAAGGAATTGTAATTTTAGGGGATTGGGTTTTGAATTTGGAGTGTTATTTTTCTTTTACAATAATCTTAAAATTATCCAATTACATTCAAAAATTATATAAGGATTCATAACTTATAAATATAGGCTTCATATCAAATTTTTATGAATTTTATATAATTTAAAATTAAAATTAATTAATTGTTGTGTAAAGTAAAATTTGAGTTGCAAATACAAGCATCCTATCAAAATTATCTCCCTGACACCCAATTCCCATCTCCTATCCGCTCACTCACAATTTAGCAATTTCTTGTCAGCCTTTTACAGGTTACAGGCTTGTTTTGCATCTCAACGTTTGACGTTTTATTTCTTCTTCTATTCTCTCAATTTTCCATCTCTTCTTTGTTCTCTTCTTCTAATTTTCATCTTCAATTTCTCATCAACGAAACCTTCATGTAATTAAAAAAGAATAAAGTGCTCATATCATATTTGATTAATAAAGTAATTTTTATCAAATATGTATATTACTCGAAATGATATTTAAGAAGCGAAAGATTTTATTAATAAACTTTGAAAAAAACGATAAAATATGCTTTTGCATGAAATATTCTTCTTGCGTACATGTTGTAGGCTGCAGGCATACATTTACTTTAACAAAATTTTAATTTTTAGAATCAAAAGATTACCTTTTAATACAATTTTCATTTTTAAAACCAAAAGATATATTACTTTAAAGAAGTTATAATGTTTTCCAAGATATTTTTTGAACATATCTTTAAGATTACTATCTTTATAAATTGATAATAAAATTTTTAAATTTCACAATAAAATTTTCAAAAATCGACGCTTATCCATTTAATAATTTGTTTGATTGATTAACTTTAAAAAACATGCCATAATAAATTGAGATAGAGAATTGATAGAGAAATACGCAACTTGATCATTAATTAAATAATATATACAATTGGATGTTTCTGTATCATATTGTTCAACAATAAATATGACAAAATTGAAAGTTCACCAAACTAAATTATCTCTACTATAAACGTAGGAATTAGTTTAGAATAGTCAATGATTAAAGGCCAAGAAAAACATTAACAAGTTTTAAATTAAAGATAAGTTATAACAGCCCCAGTACAAAGAGAGAAGGCATCTAGATTTGTGGAAATTTTTGGCTGTAAATTGAATTGGAGTTAATAAACTCACGGTATTAAGTGGGCTATTATATATATAAAATTAACTTGTAATGCATGGATTATTTTTATTTTATTTAAATTTAAATAAAATAAAAATAAAATATTAAATTATTAATATGTTCAAAATAAATATATAAAAATAAATAATATAATTAAAATATCAACTCATAAAAAAATAAAAATTTTAATTAACAAATTAATAATCTTTAAAATATATGATAAATAATAGTGGAGGAAGAAAAAAAATCCAAAAGATGTTGTAAAAAAATTATTAATTATGCCAACAAAATATTAAAATAAAAACTAAAAATCTTATCGCTTCAAATGAACTTTATTCAATTTATTTCCAATTTCTTTTATCATTTTTGTACACCATCAAATTTATGTAATTTTAAGATAAGTTTTATTTATTTAAAAAAAATAATGATTTTAAATGTTTAAATAATATATGTGATAACTTACTCTTATGTATATTTTTTCTGTAGGAGTTTCAGTAATATCATAATCTTTAGTATATTTATGGCTTTCAAATCTTTGTCCCTTTCAATTGTTTTGATGTTGACATCTTATATGGAATTATATTCCTATAAAAACTGAAATGAAATAGTTTTAAATTTTAAATAATAGTATTAAATTATAAACAATTATTTAAGAAAATTATTGACAAAAAGTTTTAATGAAATGTATTAAACTACGTACTTTTTGTATTATTTAAAGTAAATATTGACTCTTCTTTGCATAAAGTATCTGATGAACATATATAACAGTCAATCTTAAACTTTCATGAAAAAAATTGTAATTATTGATTTCTACTTCAAAAATAAATGAACGGCCTATCAACTCTTCCCATATTTTTTCCACTTTGGCATCTCCATTTTCCTATGAATGAGTTTTATATAAATTTAATTAAATAACATTGATATTTATACAAATTTAGAAAATTATTTTGAATGTGATATAACCTCATTTTTCATTTGAAACAATTATTCAGCTGTATACTCTAGAATTCAATTAGGTTTTCCATAAAAAAGACAAATGATGCATTGTCAAGCTCATCTGATACATTGATAATTAATTTGTACCTATGATGGAATATTAATAATTATCAAACTTACCTTCAATTGAAAAAAATGAAAAAAAAAAGTAAATATTCAAATGATTATGTTTTAAAAATTACTTATTTAAAAATATCTCAATAAATTTTACTTAAATTGACATATAATGATGATGGAATTTAATGATATCTTACAAATGGAAGTTGGGTTTGAAGTACACAATCCTTGCAAGCATAACCTCTGCCAGCTTCTAACACCTTTTTTTTATGCACTGTACATGACAAATAATACCATCCATACCTCGTGTTGATTTGCATTATAGTACTTCGATAGGTTAACTTTTTCTCCTGTTGGTAGTAAAAATAAGAAGTATTTTTTTGAATTATAACACAATATATATTTAAATTGAAATATATTTAACTAAAGTCTATAGTCCTTACCTTGGATGAATTGTTATTCATGACATGATAAAATATCAGCTATCAATCTCCTATTTGCAAACAACATTTCTTTGGAAGATGCAACTTCTTTTATTGGTGTCAAAGACTTTTGGACTTGAGAATCACC